ATGTGTGTGCATATGTGACTGTGTATGTGTGTGCATATGTGACTGTGTATGTGCGTGCATATGTGACTGTGTATGTGTGTGCATATGTGACTGTGTATGTGTGTGCATATGTGACTGTGTATGTGTGTGCATATGTGACTGTGTATGTGAGCAAGAGAACACCAGAAACAACAGGTAGTGATCGAGATCGGAAATGTACAAGCTGCTGTAAACAAGACAAAGATGTGCACTCGCGAATATGTCAGACTGGGCAGCATACACGTGCCGTGTGCACCCCACACGAACAGCTGTTTCCTATGTGTAATTACCAGAGTTCTATCAACACAAAAGATAAAATGATGTAAACTTGTTGGCCAAGTTGCCAGCAGCTTCTAGTAACGAACACGCAGCTCGCATACAAGGACAGGCGAACACGTTTCCAGTTAGATTCAAGGTGAGAGGTTCTACTCCACTGCAGCTGCTTTGATCAGGTTAAATCTCTGTCTGTCTGTCTGTCTGTCTGTCTGTCTGTCTGTCTGTCTGTCTGTCTGTCTGTCTCTCTCTCTCTCTCTCTCTCTCTCTCTCTCTCTCTCTCTCTCTCTCTCTCTCTCTCTCTCTCTCACTCTGCAGAACTGTCTTATCTCTAATGAGTCCACAGTACTTCAACGGGTCACTACATCAACCAGAACCTAATGAGAGTTGTTAGCCAGAAATGTGTGTTTAATGTCACTGGCTGGTAGGTCAACCCATACAGACAACATGTGTGTTTAATGTCACTGGCTGGTAGGCCAACCCATACAGAAAATGTGTGTTTGGCATGCACTGGCTGTAAGCCAACCCATGACAATATGTGTGTTTAATGTCACTGACGTATGGGTAGGCCAACCCATGTGACAACATGTGTGTGTGTGCGTATGTCACTGGCTGGTAGTGTAAAAAAGATGTCCATGGTGTGTCTGACGGATGTGTGTTTAATGTCACTGTCTAGCCCTGTGGTATGTGTGTTGCTGCGCCCGAGTGGTAGTGGGCCAACCCATATGTGACAATATGTGTGTGGTATGTCACTGGCTGGTAGTGCCAACTGTGTATGTGTGTGCATGCTGACAATATAATGTCACTGTGTATGTGTACAACCCATGCGTGCAATATGTGTGTTTAATGTCACTGGACTGGTAGACCAACCCATACAGACAAATAATGTGTGTGTTTACAGACGAGATATGTGCTGCTGTTAATGTCACTGACTGGTAGGTCAACCCATACAGACAATATGTGTGTTTAATGTGTCACTGACCTGGTTAGGCCAACCCATACAGACAATATGTGTGTTTAATGTCCAGCAGCTGGCTGGTACGGTCACGCAGCCCATACAAAGACAGGCGAACATGTGTGTCCAGTTTAGATTCACTGGTGAGAGGTTCTACTTCCACTGCAGCTGCTTTGACAGGTTAAATCTATGTCTGTGTTTAATGTCACTGGCTGGTAGGTCAACCCATACAGACAATATGTGTGTTTAATGTCACTCTCTGGTAGGTCAACCCATACAGACAATATGTGTGTTTGATGTGTCTGGTAGGTCAGCTAATGTCACTGTCACTGGTAGGTATGGGTCAACCCATACAGACAATATGTGTGTTTAATGTCACTGGCTGGTAGGTCAACCCATACAGACAATATGTGTGTTTAATGTCACTGGCTGGTAGGTCAACCCATACAGACAAATGTGTGTTTAATGTCACTGACTGGTAGGTCAACCCATACAGACAATATGTGTGTTTAATGTCACTTGGTAGGCCAACCCATAACAATATGTGTGTTTAATGTCACTGGCTGGTAGACCAACCCATACAGACAACATGTGTGTTTAATGTCACTGACTGGTAGGTCAACCCATACAGACAATATGTGTGTTTAATGTCACTGACTGGTAGGTCAACCCATACAGACAATATGTGTGTTTAATGTCACTGGCTGGTAGGCCAACCCATACAGACAATATGTGTGTTTAATGTCACTGACTGGTAGGTCAACCCATACAGACAACATGTGTGTTTAATGTCACTGGCTGGTAGGTCAACCCATACAGACAATATTTGTGTTTAATGTCACTGGCTGGTAGGTCAACCCAAACAGACAATATGTGTGTTTAATGTCACTGACTGGTAGGTCAACCCATACAGACAATATGTGTGTTTAATGTCACTGGCTGGTAGGTCAACCCATACAGACAATATGTGTGTTTAATGTCACTGGCTGGTAGGCCAACCCATACAGACAATATGTGTGTTTAATGTCACTGACAACCCATACAGACAATATGTGTGTTTAATGTCACTGGCTGGTAGGTCAACCCATACAGACAAATGTGTGTTTAATGTCACTGGCTGGTAGGCCAACCCATACAGACAATATGTGTGTTTAATGTCACTGTACAAGACAACTAGCATTCTCAGAACAGGCTAGTGAGACAAAATGGCCAAAGCCTCAAGATGAACAGAAAGTGTCTCCTAGTTTATGCCAGAAAGTATGGTTATATAAAACAACACTCATTAAGGCAGTCATCGTGGGATGCATATTTCTGATAAAATCGCATCAGCTGTAAAAAGAAGCTCTTAGTTGGTTAATATGCTAATAGCATGATGGAAACATGCAGGCATTTATGGATATATTTGCATGAGAATACCAGTCCAGTGGAGTCAACAACAGACCAGCTATATGGCCATGTGGATTACAGGCATGCAGTAACAACTAGGCAGGCCAGGATAGCTCTACAATATTGACATTCTTTCTACTGGGTTTTGTGCTGCCAGCTAGCAATGTTTGCTGTGACAGACATCGTTTTGTCCTCCTCTTGACTAACAACTACTGACTGTTGAGTGCTCTAGTAGAGTAAAGAACATTCAAATTATCTCATCACTTTCCTCTCCTATCATTATATGCTAAGGTCATATACAGAGTATTCTCCTTCCACCATTATGTTTTAGTCATACAGAGAGACAGAGAGTGCTCTTCTACCCTTATCTGCTTCAATCGCTCAGGGAGCTCTTCCTTTCTACCAAGGCTATAGTCCTATTTTTGTCCTGAGACAAACACATGCAGACAACAATTCAGTGACTTAGAACGGGGCAGATAACATTATATGGTCACACAAGAGACCTTCTCACGTCAGACATTTGTTCGTGGCAGACACTCTCTCTGTAGATATTATTTCCCAGCATACATGCTCTCACATTAGACTATCTCTCACAGTAGATATTCCCTCACAGCTGACACTCTCTGACACCAAACACTCTCTCATAGCTGATTCTCTCTGACAGACTCTCTCTTTCATAAATGATTCTCTCACATCAGACAGTCTTTCAAAAATGTTTATTTTCTGACACCAAACACTCTCTCACAGATGATTCTCTGCGACACCAAACATTCTCTCACAGATGATTCTCTCTGACACCAAACATTCTCTCACAGATGATTCTCTCTGACATCAGACTCTCTCTCACAGATGATTCTCTCTGACACCAAACATTCTCTCACAGATGATTCTCTCTGACATCAGACTCTCTCTCAGAGATGATTCTCTCTGACATCAAACACTCTCTCACAGATGATTCTCTCTGACACCAAACACTCTCTCACAGATGATTCTCTCTGACACCAAACATTCTCTCACAGATGATTCTCTCTGACACCAAACATTCTCTCACAGATGATTTTCTCTGACACCAAACATTCTCTCACAGCTGACACTCTCTGACACCAAACACTCTCTCATAGCTGATTCTCTCTGACATCATACTCTCTCTCTTTCATAAATGATTCTCTTACATCAGACAGTCTTTCAAAAATGATTATTTTCTGACACCAAACACTCTCTCACAGATGATTCTCTCTGACACCAAACATTCTCACAGATGATTCTCTCTGACATCAGACTCTCTCTCACAGGTGATTCTCTCTGACATCAGACTCTCTCTCACAGATGATTCTCTCTGACATCAGACTCTCTCTCACAGATGATTCTCTCTGACACCAAACATTCTCTCACAGATGATTCTCTCTGACATCAGACTCTCTCTCACAGATGATTCTCTTTGACATCAGACTCTCTCTCACAGATGATTCTCTCTGACATCAGACTCTCTCTCTCACAGATGATTCTCTTTGACATCAGACTCTCTCTCACAGATGATTCTCTCTGACATCAGACTCTCTCTCACAGATGATTCTCTCTGACATAAGACTCTCCCACAGATGATTCTTTTTGACATCAGACTCTCTCTCACAGATGATTCTCTCTGACACCAAACACTCTCTCACAGATGATTCTCTCTGACATCAGACTCTCTCTCACAGATGATTCTCTTTGACATCAGACTCTCTCTCACAGATGATTCTCTTTGACATCAGACTCTCTCTCACAGATGATTCTCTCTGACATCAGACTCTCTCTCACAGATGATTCTCTCTGACATAAGACTCTCTCTCACAGATGATTCTCTCTGACATCAGACTCTCTCTCACAGATGATTCTCTCTGACACCAAACACTCTCTTACAGATGATTCTCTCTGACACCAAACATTCTCTTACAGATTATTCTCTCTGACACCAAACATTCTCTCACAGATGATTCTCTCTGACATCAGACACTGTCTCACAGATGATTCTCTCTGATATCAGACACTGTCTCACAGATGATATTCTCTGACACCAAACTTTCTCTTACAGATGATACTCTCTGACATCAGACACTCTCTCACAGATGATTTTCTCTGACACCAAACATTCTCTCACAGATGATTCTCTCTGACATCAGACACTCTCTCATAGATGATTTCCTCTGACACCAAACACTCTCACAACAGATATGCTCTTATGTCAGATATTTATTTACATAAGATATTCTCTGACAGCAGACACACTCTGACAGCAAACATTTACTGACGGAAGACATTCTCTGCCAGCAGACATTCTCTGCCATCAGACATTCTCTGCCAGCAGACATTTTCTGAAATAACTCACCTCTTCTCTGTAGATAAAAGCAATAATCCCAATGGCCACTTGCAGCAGGAAGCAGAGCACAGTAGTCACAAAAAACTGGGGAAACACAATGAAAATAATCATTAGGATATCAGATCACATTTTACAAAAGGAAAAGGATAAAATATAAAGGTTGGACAGAACAGCAAGCTCACAGAAGAAATATAAAAGTTAAATAACAGAGTTCAGCTTCACAAATATATCCCTTTGATAGAAATCCTACTGTAGACAACAGGCTAGGTCAAGATAAGCAAGAGGTAGACAACACCCAAGATTTATGGACTGCAATGTGTACAAATATCACAGCAGATAGCAAGTGTCACAGATCCATTTCAGCCACATGCAGTGCGCAGACATTTAATCAACAGATTTAAGTACAATAATTACTGACTCACTATTCTAAGACAACGACTATTTGTTGTATTTTTTTTTTTTTTAATTCCCCAAAATAAAATTAAAACAAGAAATGCTATAATATTTTTAATCCTGGGGTTAAATGGGTTTATAATTTATGAAAATATCAGGAGTGTTCATTTAAAATCCACCCCAATAGTGTTATTATAAAGGCATGAAAGAAAAAATCAACAGGTGTGGCAGAATTATACAAAGCATTTATTTGGAATAAACTATGCACCATGGGTTTGTCAGAAAGAAAAAAAAAATCAGTGCAGGAATTCAGGCAAGAACTCTATTGCTTAGGTAAGTGGCAAATGCCATCCACAAAAAATATGACTGCAGTTGCTTACTGAACCAAGTGTTTGGAGCATTCACTACACCACCCAGTATGTTCCTCATTTTGGTGGCTGGTTACACATCCATAGTACCCACTGTAAACACACCTTCTGATACTGCGGTCCCTTACAAACAATTTTTGAAACTGCCCTAACTGACACATCAAATTCTGTTGCTAGCAAATGTATGCTTCAACAATGGTTCACTTGTACTGCTGCATCAATTCTGGCAATAGGTTTTTCCTTCTGCCACAATATGTGCTTAACCTAGCCTTGAAAGATCAGTCTTGAACTTACATCCATTCCCAATCTGCCACTGCTGTCTTCGACACACACATCTGTTACTGTTGTCTTTCACACACACATCTGTCACTATTGTCTTCAGCACACACATCTGTCACTATTGTCTTCAGCACACACATCTGTCACTATTGTCTTCGACACACACATCTGTCACTGTTGTCTTTGACACACACATCTGTTACTGTTGTCTTCGACACACACAATGTCACTGTTGTCTTTGACATACACATCTGTCACTGTTGTCTTTGACACACACATCTGTCACCGTTGTCTTCGACACACACATCTGTCACTATTGTCTTCAGCACACACATCTGTCACTATTGTCTTCGACACACACATCTGTTACTGTTGTCTTTGACACACACATCTGTTACTGTTGTCTTTGACACACACAATGTCACTGTTGTCTTTGACATACACATCTGTCACTGTTGTCTTTGACACACACATCTGTCACTGTTGTCTTCGACACACACATCTGTCACTGTTGTCTTCGACACACACATCTGTTAGTGTTGTCTTTGACACACACATCTGTCACTGTTGTCTTCGACACACACATCTGTGACTGTTGTCTTCGACACACACATCTGTTACTGTTGTCTTTGACACACACATCTGTCACTGTTGTCTTCGACACACACATCTGTTACTGTTGTCTTTGACACACACATCTGTTACTGTTGTCTTCGACACACACATCTGTCACTGTTGTCTTTGACACACACATCTGTTACTGTTGTCTTTGACACACACATCTGTTACTGTTGTCTTCGACACACACATCTGTTACTGTTGTCTTCGACACACACATCTGTCACTGTTGTCTTCGACACACACATCTGTCACTGTTGTCTTCGACACTGTCACTGTTGTCTTCGACACACACATCTGTCACTGTTGTCTTTGACACACACATCTGTCACTGTTGTCTCCAACACACACATCTGTTACTGTTGTCTTTGACACTGTCACTGTTGTCTTTGACACTGTCACTGTTGTCTTTGACACTGTCACTGTTGTCTTCGACACTGTCACTGTTGTCTTTGACACTGTCACTGTTGTCTTTGACACTGTCACTGTTGTCTTCGACACTGTCACTGTTGTCTTCGACACACACATCTGTTACCGTTGTCTTCGATACACACATCTGTCACTGTTGTCTTTCGACTCACACACATCTGTCACTGTTGTCTTCGACACACACATCTGTTACCGTTGTCTTCGACACACACATCTGTCACTGTTGTCTTCGACTCACACACATCTGTTACTGTTGTCTTTGACACACACATCTGTTACTGTTGTTTTCGATACACACAACTTTTACTGTTGTCTTCGACACACACATCTGTCACTGTTGTCTTCGACACACACATCTGTCACTGTTGTCTTCGACACACACATCTGTCACTGTTGTCTTCGACACACACATCTGTCACTGTTGTCTTCGACACACACATCAGTTACTGTACATTGCCTGCATTCTTCTTTAAATGTCGACTGGTCGACATCCTTCAAATGAAAGAAACTGAATTACCACTATGTGAGCTTCTCTGAAAGGATTTTGAATTTTTACTAACAGAATCCACCTACTTATCAATCTGGTGAGATATTAATGATGATCAACTGACTACATTCCGCTCACAACATTCACTTTTTTTACTACCAACTTGAGCCTAGTGACTACATCCTGCTGACTTGAGCTTACTGACTACATCCTGCTGACTTGAGCTTACTGACTACATCCTGCTGACTTGAGCCTAGTGACTACATCCTGCTGACTTAAGCTTAGTGACTACATCCTGCTGACTTGAGTTTAGTGACTACATCCTGCTGACTTGAGCTTACTGACTACATCCTGCTGACTTGAGCTTATTGACTACATCCTGCTGACTTGAGCTAAATGACTACATCCTGCTGACTTGAGCTTAGTGACTACACCTACTGACTTGAGCCTAGTGACTACATCCTGCTGACTTGAGCTTAGTGACTACATCCTGCTGACTTGAGCTTACTGACTACATCCTGCTGACTTGAGCTTAGTGACTACATCCTGCTGACTTGAGCTTAGTGACTACATCCTGCTGACTTGAGCTAAATGACTACATCCTGCTGACTTGAGCTTACTGACTACATCCTACTGACTTGAGCTTAGTGACTAAATCCTGCTGACTTGAGCTAAATGACTACATCCTGCTGACTTGAGCCTAGTGACTACATCCTGCTGACTTGAGCCTAGTGACTACATCCTGCTGACTTGAGCTAAATGACTACATCCTGCTGACTTGAGCTTACTGACTAAATCCTGCTGACTTGAGCCTAGTGACTACATCCTGCTGACTTGAGCCTAGTGACTACATCCTGCTGACTTGAGCTTACTGACTACATCCTGCTGACTTGAGCCTATTGACTACATCCTGCTGACTTGAGCCTAGTGACTACATCCTGCTGACTTGAGCTTACTGACTACATCCTGCTGACTTGAGCTTACTGACTACATCCTGCTGACTTGAGCCTAGTGACTACATCCTGCTGACTTGAGCTTAGTGACTACATCCTGCTGACTTGAGCTTAGTGACTACATCCTGCTGACTTGAGCTTAGTGACTAAATCCTGCTGACTTGAGCTTACTGACTACATCCTGCTGACTTGAGTTTAGTGACTACATCCTGCTGACTTGAGTTTAGTGACTAAATCCTGCTGACTTGAGCTTAGTGACTACATCCTGCTGACTTGAGCCTAGTGACTACATCCTGCTGACTTGAGCTTAGTGACTACATACTGCTGACTTGAGTTTAGTGACTACATCCTGCTGACTTGAGCTTACTGACTACATCCTGCTGACTTGAGCTTAGTGACTACATCCTGCTGACTTGAGCTTAGTGACTACATCCTGCTGACTTGAGCTAAATGACTACATCCTGCTGACTTGAGCTTACTGACTACATCCTACTGACTTGAGCTTAGTGACTACATCCTGCTGACTTGAGCTTAGTGACTACATCTTGCTGACTTGAGCCTAGTGACTACATCCTGCTGACTTGAGCTTAGTGACTACATCCTGCTGACTTGAGCTTAGTGACTACATCCTGCTGACTTGAGCTTAGTGACTACATCCTGCTGACTTGAGCTAAATGACTACATCCTGCTGACTTGAGCTTAGTGACTACATCCTGCTGACTTGAGCTTAGTGACTACATCCTGCTGACTTGAGCTAAATGACTACATCCTGCTGACTTGAGCTTACTGACTACATCCTACTGACTTGAGCTTAGTGACTAAATCCTGCTGACTTGAGCTAAATGACTACATCCTGCTGACTTGAGCCTAGTGACTACATCCTGCTGACTTGAGCCTAGTGACTACATCCTGCTGACTTGAGCTAAATGACAACATCCTGCTGACTTGAGCTTACTGACTACATCCTGCTGACTTGAGCCTAGTGACTACATCCTGCTGACTTGAGCTTACTGGCTACATCCTGCTGACTTGAGCCTAGTGACTACATCCTACTGACTTGAGCCTAGTGACTACATCCTGCTGACTTGAGCTTACTGACTACATCCTGCTGACTTGAGCTTAGTGACTACATCCTGCTGACTTGAGCTTAGTGACTACATCCTACTGACTTGAGCTTAGTGACTAAATCCTGCTGACTTGAGTTTAGTGACTACATCCTGCTGACTTGAGCCTAGTGACTACATCCTGCTGACTTGAGCTTACTGACTACATCCTGCTGACTTGAGCTTAGTGACTACATCCTGCTGACTTGAGCTTAGTGACTACATCCTGCTAACTTGAGCTAAATGACTTCATCCTGCTGACTTGAGCTTAGTGACTACATCCTGCTGACTTGAGCTTAGTGACTACATCCTGCTGACTTGAGCTAAATGACTACATCCTGCTGACTTGAGCTTAGTGACTACATCCTGCTGACTTGAGCTTAGTGACTATATCCTGCTGACTTGAGCTTAGTGACTACATCCTGCTGACTTGAGCTAAATGACTTCATCCTGC